GACTATTCAGACGCCGCGGAAGTACATTTCCGTTAGATTCACTCACATGCATTAAATTGATAAGCAAATGGTAATAAACCAAAACAGGAAAAAAACCAAACTGCTAAGACTGCACGTGGTCACTCAACGCCTTCATTTACGTAAAGTGATATAACATAGGAAGTTTCACAGAAGAATTAGTAGTGAAAGACTGAAAGCCGCAACACACGCAAAATATTTCGCACTAGGCAAGTCATTGCTTAAGTTAGAGTTATATCCCTTACAAGGGCTCATGTGGTACACTGTCTGGCACAGCCTGTCTACATCTACAGCAGAATGCTTAGTTCAACGGGTATTGCACTTTTCCCACTGTATAATTAAAAGAAACACACAGAAAGGAAACGTCCAATCATTTCTACCTCGGAAGGTTTTGACTTCGGGATAATCCCAACAACTCACTCACAAGAACAAAGCAGTAATGAAGCGGACATAACGTAATCATTTGTATAGTTGCTAAATAGATGAACTATATTGTAATAGATGACACAGGACTGACTAAATTCCAAGGTGAGGTGAAATGGGGTTTAGCGTCGCGTTCAAGAATATTGCCCTTATATAACGACGACGTACATGTGTGGCTACTTGTACCAGTTCGGATTATAGTGCTAGCCCACATCGATACCCAACTCAGGCGCATTTTTTTCTTTTTATACTGACTCCGAGCCGACCAGTTTTTGTTTTGTCTCCTCATTATCGGGGGCCAGGCAGGGTAGAACGAGTACCATCTTTTGACGTCTTTTGGTATGAGACGGCAAGGAAATCGAGCCACTGACCTTCCCCTCTCCGGACAGACGAACTATTCACTACACAACGGAAGAGGTATCCGAAGGTACATTTTATTTGATTCAAGAAATAATTTTTCATTTGTGAAAAATAACACTTTGGTCAAACGTGTCCCAAGTGTGTTTCCTTGTTTCAGGAAAATGGCTTTCCAAAATGTCTTTTGAAAACCGCGATGTTAGGTGACATACAGATAGCATCGACATATACACATACTAAATTTACAGATTCCACACACCTAAAAACATACCATCATTCACACATCACAAGCCTGAACACATACTAGGTGTACAGACAGCACACGCCTGAACACATACAAGGTGTATAGACAGCACACGCCTGAACACATACTAGGTGTATAGACAGCACACGCCTGAACACATACAAGATGAACAGACAGCAGACACCTGAACACATACTAGGTGTACAGACAGCACACGCATGAACACATACTAGGTGTACAGACAGCACACGCCTGAACACATACAAGGTGTACAGACAGCACACGCCTGAACACATACAAGATGAACAGACAGCAGACACCTGAACACATACTAGGTGTATAGACATCACAAGCCTGAACACATACTAGGTGTACAGACAGCACACGCCTGAACACATACAAGGTGTATAGACAGCACACGCCTGAACACATACAAGGTGTACAGACAGCACACGCCTGAACACATACAAGATGAACAGACAGCAGACACCTGAACACATACTAGGTGTACAGACAGCATACGCATGAACACATACTAGGTGTACAGACAACATAGCCTGAAGATATATCAGATGTACAGACAGCACACGCCTGAACACATACAAGGTGTACAGACAGCACACGCCTGAACACATAGTAGGTGTACAGACAGCATACGGATGAACACATACTAGGTGTACACACATCACACGCATGAACATATACTAGGTGTACAGACAGCACACGCCTGAACACATACTAGGTGTACAGACAGCACACGCCTGAACACATACTAGGTGTACAGACAACATAGCCTGAAGATGTATCATCTGATCAGACAACATACGCATGAACACACACTAGGTATACAGACAAAATACGCATGAACACATACTAGGTGTATAGACAGCACACGCATAAACACATACTAGGTGTACACACATCACACGCATGAAAATATACCAGTTGTACAGACAGCACACGCCTGAAGATGTATCAGATGTACAGACAGCACACGCCTGAACACATAGTATGTGTACAGACACCACATGCAGGAACACATAGTAGGTTTACACACATCACACGCCTGAAGACATACTAGTTGTACAGAGAGCACACGCCTGAACATATACTAGGAGTACAGACAGCACACGCCTGGACATATACTAGGTGTACAGACAGCACACGAATGAACATATACTAAGTGTACACACATTACACGCCTGAACACATACTAGGTGTACACACATCACAGGCCTGAACACATACTAGGTGTCCAGAGAGCACACGCCTGAAAACATAGTAGGTGTACAGACAGCACACGCCTGAACACATACTAGGTCTACATACATCACAGGCCTGAACACATACTAGGTGTACATACATCACACGCCTGAACACATACTAGGTGTACAGACAGCACACGCATGAACACATACTGGGTGTACACACATCATACGTCTGAACACATACTAGGTGTACATACATCACACGCATGAACACATACTAGGTGTACACACAGCACACGTCTGAACACATACTAGGTGTACATACAGCACACGCCTGAACACATACTAGGTGTACATACAGCACACGCCTGAACATACTAGGTGTACAGACAGCACACGCATGAACACATACTAGGTGTACACACAGCACACGTCTGAACACATACTAGGTGTACACACAGCACACGTCTGAACACATACTAGGTCTACATACATCACACGCCTGAACACATACTAGGTGTACATACATCACACGCATGAACATATATAAGGTGTACACACAGCACACGTCTGAACACATACTAGGTGTACACACAGCACACGTCTGAACACATACTAGGTCTACATACATCACACGCCTGAACACATACTAGGTGTACATACATCACACGCCTGAACATATATAAGGTGTACACACATCACACGCCTGAACACATACTAGGTGTACAGACAGAACACGCATGAACATATATAAGGTGTACACACATCACACGCCTGAACACATACTAGGTGTACATACATCACACGCCTGAACATATACTAAGTGTACACACATCACACGCATGAACACATACTAGGTGTACAGATTGAACACGCCTGAACATATACTAGGTGTGCACACATCATACGCATGAACACATAGTAGGTGTACATACAGCACACGACATAAAATATACTAGGTGTACAGACAGCACACGACAGAAAATATACCAGGTGTACAGACAGCACTCGCCTGAACACATACTAGGTGTACAGACAGCACACGCCTGAACACATACTAGGTGTACAGACAGCACATGCATGAACACATGCTAGGTGTACAGACAGCACACGCCTGAACATATACTAGGTGTACAGACAGCACACGCATGAAAATATACTATGTGTACAGACATCACACGCATGAACATATACTAGGTGTACAGACAGCACACGCCTGAAAATATACTAGGTATACAGACAGCACACGCCAGAACACATACTAGGTGTACAGACAGCACACGCCTGAACACATACTAGGTGTACAGACAGCACACGCGTTAACACATACTAGGTGTACACACATCACAGGCCTGAAAACATAGTAGGTGTACACACAGCACACGACATAAAATATACTAGGTGTACAGACAGCACACGACAGAAAATATACCAGGTGTACAGACAGCACTCGCCTGAACACATGCTAGGTGTACAGACAGCACACGCCTGAACATATACTAGGTGTACAGACAGCACACGCATGAAAATATACTATGTGTACAGACATCACACGCATGAACATATACTAGGTGTACAGACAGCACACGCCTGAAAATATACTAGGTATACAGACAGCACACGCCAGAACACATACTAGGTGTACAGACAGCACACGCCTGAACACATACTAGGTGTACAGACAGCACACGCATTAACACATACTAGGTGTACACACATCACAGGCCTGAAAACATAGTAGGTGTACACACAGCACACGACATAAAATATACTAGGTGTACAGACAGCACACGACAGAAAATATACCAGGTGTACAGACAGCACTCGCCTGAACACATGCTAGGTGTACAGACAGCACACGCATGAACATATACTAGGTGTACAGACAGCACACGCCTGAAAATATGCTATGTGTACAGACAGCACACGCATGAACATATACTAGATGTACAGACAGCACACGCCTGAACATATACTAGGTGTACAGATAGCACACGCCTGAACATATACTAGGTGTACAGATAGCACACGCCTGAACATATACTAGGTGTACAGACAGCACACGCCTGAACACATACAAGGTTTACAGACATCACACGCCTGAACACATACAAGGTGTACAGACAGCACACGCCTGAACATATACTAGGTGTACTAGGTGTATGCTAATATTCGTATCGTTGGGTATAAAGAAAACCATTTATGTGAAAAATGTTAAATTCCCGTGTGAAGCCGAGTAGGTGTCGTGACTGTAACTCGGGCTAGAACTGGAGATTCGTTACAAAGCTGCTGGTAACGTGCTTAATGAATATAATTGCAAGATATGAAAGACAATTCAAAGGCTTTCTGGAAAAGTGCCTTATTTCGAATTTTAGTAATAAATAGCACGCGAGTCATAAAGGGTTGGCTTTAAGTGCGAGGCTTGAACATCAAAGCGGTTTGCCGTGGCTGTGTGCAAACAGCTCGCGATAATTCCTCGCGATATCGTCATCTACAGTCGGCTTATTTGAACGTTAAGCAACGATCTCCGCAAATTTTGCTGCGAGCGAATCCCTCTAGCCCTCTCTTAAATGTGTATGGTAACAGTTGCAACCAATACATACTTCATGTACCTTAAGTCAATTGCAGAAGTAATTAACAATGCCTTCCTCATAGCTCACACAGGAGACAAAGCGAGGCGGGGGAGGACACGGGTTATGGGACGGCAGTAATCGCGACTACATTGCTGTGTGAGTGTTCCAACTTTCTCAAATTACATCACACGAATGTATTGTCTCTCAAAAGGCATTCCTCCACTGCTTTTGGGAACTTTAACGACAAAAACTCCTGATGAATTAGTAATGTGTCTGTCGAATTTTCTAAGTAGCTATCTCTGTATCAAAATTGATATCACTTTGATCATGCCTGAGGGGAGAATCGACTCTTGACCTGTCTAACATACATGTCACCCGGAGGAATAATTAAACGTAGTTTACGCCGTTCCCCGTATGAGACATATTGAAGACGCGTCTTCACCCAAACCAAGCCTCGTATCGGTGACCACTCATCACACGAACATCGACAGGTTGTGATAGGATGCATCTATCTGGATACAGGGTGTAGGAAACTTCCCTGTTCAGTGTCTTTGGCTTATTGGTAGGAATCCTTGTGTCAGCTGCCGGAGGTGTGCCGCGCCCGACCTAAGCATATCAAGAGAAAGACAAGAAGAGTCGGGTCTGCCCTCTGTAATCAACCACTCTACTGTGACGGAAAAGCAACCACAAACACAGACGCTGCGAAACAAATTTTGAGATCAATTTTAGAGCTAGGTACTCAACATTATTGTACCCGTTTTACAGGGTGCGACTATGGTGTGGGCCATCTAGCACTGTCTCAATAATGACCAAGTCTACACGACGACGGAGAAGGGACTGTCTCTCGCAGTGGTTTAATGACAGGCGACGAGTGGTCTCGACAGATATTGCCGAGAGGTAATTGTTAGGAAAAGTCTCACTTTGGGTCAAAACCTGACAAATACGAGAAAGACTCTTGGGGAGCGTTTCCAATCGAAATTTGATTACAAGCAAATCTTATGTCTATATTACGAGGCGACACTCTGGCAACATGGCCGAGTAATTTACACAAACACTCGGAAAGAATATGGCCTTCGAATTCCAAAGGTTTCTTAAATTGGAAATATTTCTTTGTTTTTGCACATTGGATTTCTGCGTTCGAAGACAACAAGTAGAATTTAGTTTGAATATATGTATATTGGATGTAGACTTGCGGCTTGAGGCAGCGTAGCCTCGCATATGTGACACATATACATGAGTACAAGAAAATGCGACTAGTGTGGTTCATCTTACTTGTGTTAATATTCAACGAAATATCGGAATGTAAGAAGGGCAGACACAAGGGACGAATGAAAGGAATTCAGTGGTGGTAAGTGAACTTTACACATCCGATAATTCACAGTTCACGCACTTGTTTAACTCTATAAATTCATTTCAACAAATTAGTCATGACAAAAACGTTGTTATTAGTTGGAAATAAGTAAAAAAAAATGGTTGATACCAGAAGCAAGTAAGACTACAGTCCTCGGGCTTTTTATTATACGACGACAAATGGATCAACATTCCATTTGTTTCTTGAACCATTATTTATCCTCGTTGTAATTATGGAATAACATTTAACGAATATGTTTGTTTTTATCAATCGATGTATATTTCATACAGAAATAATAAACTATACAATTCTTGTGACTCAAGAAAACTGAAAACATTCTAAATATGTGTCGGCGACGCAGCTCAGAGAGCAAGTTGTTTAATATGGTCCCTATAAAATCTCAATTCACTTATTGCCAATTATCCCTGCTCTCAAGCAATCAACCATCCGTGACTATTTTCATAAAATCTACATTTTACCTACCCTTTGATGTTTTCATGGCTGCTGTAATTGACGCATTAAAGGGTTGTTCCTTTCACTTTGGCATCTGGTATATTCTTCTCTGCATGGAACGAAGTACATTCCCACATTAACTGGAATAGATTTAATTTTACAAATTTAAATAGAATATAAAGTCCGTTTGAACATTACATTTTATCATTTGATTAAAAAACAACTAAGTTACGGTATGGGATGAGGGGAAATTGTCGGTAGTAAATATGACGTTGTGCATTCGCTATGAACATAGCCATACTTGTGTTAGTTTATTGGATACTTAGAGTGAATATATGTTTATATGTTTAGTCATTTCATATAATCATAAATATATTGACTTGAATAGCCTAATCAATGTATGCATGTCGCTTTGTATTGCGATGTACTTGGTGACACTGTAGCACCCAGGAATTATGCAGTGTCGCGCTTTATATCCCCGCCTTTTAATTATCTCCATCAAGACATAGGTATATATTGCCAGAGAAATTTTGTTGTATTACGCCTCGTACCTCTTTTTAATTTTCCGGGCACCTAATACGTTTTAAGGTGAGTGAGTTCACGCTGTTATGTAAGTGTACTACTCAATGGTATGTGGACATTACATGTATATTGTATACATAAGATAGTTTATGAAGGATCATTCGCGCGTCCAAAAATGGATATCTTTATACGCATATACGATAATAACCTGTACGCTAGATGAGCCAGACCTCTATCCTCGGCCATCATACAGATCGTATGTACCAATGTATACGAAAACAATGTATACGAAAACAATGTATACGAAAACAAAGTATACGAAAACAATGTATACGAAAACAATGTATACGAAAACAAAGTATACGAAAACAAAGTATACGAAAACAATGTATACGAAAACAAAGTATTTCCTATTTTTGTTTTACCCACTGCCCAAAGTCTATGACAGGTATGCGACTGACCCCGATGGAAGTGTACTGACGTAGGTATCACCACACGTCAAATTAATGTTTCATATCACTGATTGCAGGTCTTTGGCGAACCTCGGAGAAAGATCGAATGATTTGCGGTCATCTGTAACAAGGTTATACAACAACCCAAGTCTGCTGCCCCTGAACAAACGCCAGCGTCGCCTTGTCACCCGCAACCCGGGGGCGATCATGGCTGTCGTGAAGGGGGCAAAACTCGCCATAAAGGAATGTCAGTACCAATTCAGAAATAGACGATGGAACTGCCCAACATTTGCAGATGGACATGGGGGGTCAATATTTGGAAAAATCCTACAAAAAGGTAAGTAATTATATACCCTGAGACTAGTTCCAAGATATACTGGATTGAACATTAGTGCTTTTCAGTAGATGCCAATGCTCATAGCGCACAGGAAATCGGTGAAAGTTATGCTCAGTAAAGTACCATTCGCCTTGGGTGCATGCACCTGTTTTATTACGACTTAAACTTTCTGTTCTTTCATATACGCCGGTCTGTTATCATAGAAGGAACCCTAGAACGTTTAACATGTGCGATGTGCGAGATTATAGCGAGATAATTCCGTGCTGTGCAGTGGCACATACTTACATACTCATGTTCTGGTAATATACATGCAAGACTAGCATGACCTGCATGCAGATGATATTAATATTATGGTAATAAAACATTCATCGAAGACCAACACGCAGGCTCTTTATTTTCTCGAAACATCACCGCTATTTTGCCCTTTACGCCAAATATGTTTCAATGGATAATCTAGACTGGTTTTCTTGCATTTACAATTTATATTAACATAACTGCATGAGGTTCAAATTATAGTAACATGCATTGATGTGGTTACACACGCGTATATAACAGGCAGATAAAATACATTTTACAGAAATAGTGAATTGGGGTGAATTGCCCCCATGTCTGTTGAGTCGGTGTTGCTGTATGCATATAACTCTTACAGATACAACTACAGGTAAAGTCGCAATAGTATATACGACTACCTGGTTGTTCGTTATATCCATATTTATACGATTCACTTCTTTTGGAAAGTGAGGATGTCAGTGATATTCTCGTATATACTCATATATGCCTTCTCTTGTGATTTATCAGAACTATGGCTGTAAAAGTACCTTCCACAATGATATTAGTGACATTCAGTAACTGTAAAAACGTCAATACAGTTTGGAACATCTGTTATGTGTGCCTTACACTTTTCGGTAGTTGTCATAACCGTCTTAATATCTTTCTTGACACTCCGAGGTATATTATAGCCTATGGTACTAAAAATGTGAAATGAATTATTAATATTCATATTTATTTGACTTGACTTTTCGGGTTTCTATATACTTATAAGGACAAGTGATATCACATTTTGTATAGTATCCACTAGGCGCAAAGTGAGCAATTGATAATATAACATGTCATTTGTAACATTAAGGCGGTTTCAGTTGTGACGTTCGTATCTCTGATGTCCGCTGATTGTACAAGAACTCTTAAATGTATTAGCCTATTTCTATCAAATGTTTTTTAAAAAACCCTGCTTCTAATAACGTCTAATGTACAAAATTATCTAGATGTTCCCAGATAATAATAAGGCTTTGCTTGCATGAAATTTCTCCTATATACATAATGTGTGGTGTGTTATGGGCCGGAACCCTTTAATACATAATAAACTCTGTCTGTCTGTCTGTCTTAAGGTGGTTTCAGTGTGCCTCGTCTGTAGTAATAATGTTTTGTTTTCGGCGTTGGCTGCATGTATACCTCTTTGTAAAAGTTGTTTTTATGTAAATCAAATATCCCCGCTGTCAATAATGTAATTATGAACTATTATTTAATGACAGTTACTACTTACTAGTTATCCATTCATATATTATCGGAAGCACAAAAGCACATAAAAGTAAAACAAAATGTTCAATGAGAACGTAAGAAGGGGGAAACATTAGAAACTGAACTAAGAGGTGACGCCAGCAGATGTTGGAAAGAGTTATGTTTTAGAATAACATACATAATTTGATTACATACACGTTATCGTTTAGGGCCAATACATCAGTATGTGTATTCCTGAGATGCAGTGATATATCTAATGGCATATTACAGATGTGCTGGAATGGAGCAACACTGACAGTATGGTAGACGCCATTCGACTGTATGAAAGAGCTGGTTGTCTCTCTTTAGTCAGTTTAAGATAGAGAACTACGTCAGTCAATGCGAACAGGAACTGAGCTAATGTTTTAGGCATATAATTTGTTACTTGACAGTGCCCAGTCTTGAATAAAAGCAGTTGTTCGTTTGCTTGGATTTCATTGATTTTAGGGGTTAGTCTCAGACACGTTCTTTTGTTTTGGATATTGAGTATAGTAGGTATTATTTCGTGATAAAAGGCTGCTTGTACGGGGTATTGGCTGATGGCAAGTCGGGAGACAGACAGTGTGTGTAAACATTGCTACAAGAGCCAGACCCTAATCCCCGTCAAACATACAGATCGCATGCATTCCCCTCACATATGGACAACTCGGTGGGAAGGGATGCAGACAGTAGTAATTGATAGAGAATTTACTCAGTACAAATGCTGTCCACGACCCGATGGACTCTGAAGGAACGAATGTAACAGCTAGTAGGCTTCATACCCGTCAACACGACAACCTGTTGTTTGATTGAGTTCACTCGGTGAGTTCAATTTTGTTGAATAAATTTCTTCATAAACTTCTTTTTTCTCTCTTGAGGTGTTGGGCCACCAACAAATTTATGTGTAAAATCTGACACACGATTCCACATAGACACATGATTCCTCACACAAAACACACATAATTCCACCATTTCAACACAGACACATAATTTCTCATACACACCCATACGATTCCTATATGCAGAAGAGGATTCCTAAACAAACAATCTGTCTGGAGCAACTTCCAATAATATTTGCAAGAAATATGTAACAGCTCTCTGCTCTCAATAAGTATTCTTGTACATGTGTGTTCATAGCTGATGAATATCAAGCGTAATGTGTTTGTGACTTGTAAATAGGTTCAAGCACATTTGAGGTATTCCTTTAAAACACAAATACTTTCATTTTCTTTGCAATCCTGCTCACTGTATTTCCTATTACCCTAGTACCCCTGGTCAGGTTAAACCATCGATCACACACATCAGATATTTTGGTTTTAAAGAAAATGTCGTATAACGTTTCCGCGCCATGATCATATTGATCAATGTTGGTTTAATTATGGATGATTATGTATTTTGATTACAATCATTGGGTAGGGTTGTAGCGGAAACCTAGATAACAGCAATTGTCTGTCCTTCTGAAATTTGAAATGTTGACAGTAGATGTTACCCGGAGGTCCAAACACTGTCAGTAGCCTGGTCTCGGGCACACTACACGTCAGAGTTAAAGGAGGCTTGATTTGTGTGAAGCTGAGGTGAGAATCGTATTTAATTCACGTGGCACACATGAACAAGCAGTGGCCCATGAACAGAAATAGTCGCATCAAATGCCTCAGGAAGAAAATGTTAACAGTATTAACACAGATTCCTTTGCGCGATTTGGTGACAAAACACTTCTGCCCGGGGCACGTAGGGGGTAGTCACAGACATCCGGCCCTGTTAAAAAAGTCACTGTTGCTTTTTAATAAACTTGATTTGAAACTCTTTGTATGGTTGTTCCAAAGGCGTTGTGCGGAAGGTAGGACTATATTACTACAATGACTACTACAATAAGAAGGGAGTACATTGATGTTTGATTAACGCCACATCACCCAGTATGTTCGCAATGGTATAGACCCTAACTTACATTGTTTTGTGTAATTACTTACAACAACCACCTTGGACATGCAGCTAGAACTGTAATTTATATTTGACTTGCACTACCTATGAGGTCCGACAATTTGATGGGAGCCTCATTTGCGAATACGCACACAATTTGATTGCACCCTATCAAGTATGTGGACTGACTCGCAGTTTCAGCTTCTAGCTCCTAATTGTTTTCTTTTTCGAACGGAAATACTATGAATTGGTGTGAATACTTCCTGAACTCGAGTACCATGAACAAGTCATCCATTACATCTACATTGTGGCCAGAATATATTTTGTCACATACTACAACCCTCGACGTTTTCCCGACTATTCATAACAGGTCGTTTCAAATTATTTACACCCTTGTGGTTATTGCATTGTTCTACATAACATATATAATTACATTCGACATTAACATGACATGATTGAGCATGACAAATGGGCCCAACCCTTCGCCCCATTCCCTTGCTGGACAGTTAGTTGAGTTCTTGATCAGTAACTTTCAAACCGATGTATCAGTATATCTGATTTACTAAATATGATAGTGGTATAAAATATGTCCCTTGCTTTCTCAGCCAATGGTCAGTCCACTGGCACATTCATTTGAAAAAATATACATTTCTCAATTGTGCAGCCTTAAGAAAACTGAGATACCATTGAGGTTAGAACTTTGTACCTTCCATGGCGTTTCCTTACTAGTTATTAGTTTTGCTGTTAATCTACTGTATCATTTACCCAGCTACTCTGTTAATGTGCATGAATGTTTGTTCTCTCTTTGTCTCACCTTTCGATATTTCATCCTGATGTTGTAAATACGTCATTGTTCACCAGTCACGAAACGTGGAAACCTGAATGCAATCCAGGAAGGACTTTCTTTATAGTCAGATAAATATTGGAGACAAGTAGAATTAATATCGTGTGGATTTTCAAACATTCAACGGAGTTGCTTGAATTTAGACAATATCAAAACTGTAAATTATTTTCTGACAAACCTTTTCTTGTTCCACGCTATACGCCACTACCCCACACGACAAACATAAGGGAAAACGTCCTTCCTTGATCTGTGGGGCATTTGTCATTAAAAAACGTGGTGACCACAGTAAAAGTTACATCTCTACCTTCAAAGGTTCAGGACAATTTGTGAAAAGTGAAAGCAACTGTCACCTGAAGTTTACTGAGAAAACAATATGTGACATGCTGGACTTCCTCATCGATAGCATCTTTGTGAAAGTTGGGGACAGGACATTTATACAAGAAGTAGGCATCCCTGGCTGTGTGCTACAACAGTGCTCCCCTTCTTGCTGATCTGTTGCTTTATGTATATGAACGGGAATTCATGCTCAGGTTGGTAAAATCAAAACACGTAACGTTTAACTTAAGCTTTTGTTAAAACAATGATCTAGCTGAACAATGGTCAAATAGATAATGAGCTTCCACTGAAATGTCCGCCTGAAGCCGTATATACGCAGGGTACGTCCACCTCTCCGTGAAACATGGTATCAGCATGGAAAGAGTTGTCT